TTTTCATATCTTGTTGGGAAGGCCATGGAATATCTATAGAAGTGCTTCATATAGTATCGAAAAAAATAGATACTCTTTTGAGGTTAATGGGAAGAAACTCAGTCTTGGGCCTTTGACTCCCTCACAAATTTGTGCAGATGAAAAGATTGTTAAAGAGAATATGGAAAAATACGAGAGAAAAAAGAATGAGAGGAGTAAGGGAATGCATGTTGACATTCCAAAAGAGGAAAAAGGAGAGGTTGTCTTGAGTAAAAAGACTGGGATGTCAAGTGAGGTAAACAATGATCTTGAGAAAAAAGAAAAGAGAGAAAGCAATAAGAGAAACAAAGTCTGTGAGGTAGAGAGAGAAAAACAAGAGAGATTGAGTGAAGGAAAAGAACTCTTTAGTGAGAGAAAAGAGGCTAAGGGTGAGGAAAACATTAGTCTTGCGATAAAAGCCAAAGAGAGTGTAAGCAAGAAAAAAGTTTTTTTACTTCCTAACCCATTAACTCTTTCTTGATTTAGTTCTTGTGATTTTGTACAACCACGTGATGAAATACCTTTTGAAAGAAGTGGTGAGGCGCAAGAGATGGTGGCAAAAGATCCAATTGGATTCCAACATAAATTCAGCAATATCAATTCTTGTTGGATGGTGGAAGACAAAAGCTTGATTAAATTCTTTGTTATTAAACCTTTTGACTATTTCGATTCTTATTTACAGGGTTATGACATGGAGTTGCCTAAAAGCATTGCTAAGGTGGAGCCATTGCATAAAAGAATACAAGGTGATGATGTTCCATTGGTAAATAAGTCCAAGTATGGTATGTATAATTGGTTTATTTGCATTCTTGGTCTTTCTAGAACACCTAAGGTATTTTGGAGGTAATGAATTACACTCTTATTTCTTATATTTGTGACTTTATAATTTTTGTAGATGATGATATTTTGATGCACATCAAGTCATTAACTATAATATCTAAGTTAATGTGTAAGAGTAATTCGCTTCCTTTTGAAATTGTGTATGACATAGATGATTACTTATTCCAACTTGGTGGAAAGAGGCATGGAATTTCTGTGAAGAGGCTTGCAAATGAGTTAAATATTTCTTCTTATCTTATTCAAGTGGCTAATGAGTTTTCATGTGCTAAAGAATGTGATCTTTGTTATGTGATGGGGAGTCATTCTTCAAGTCATGTTCATTGTAAGATTGTACAAGTATTTGTTTCTAGTAAAGAGGATATGCATGATTGTTGTAACACTGGTGATCAAATACTCTTTCATGTAGAGGAATCCATGAGATTTGTAATTGTAGATAGTAGTCTATATCATGAATGTATCTTGTTTGATACATGTGGTAAAGGTACTTATATTAAATGGATGTGTAGTCACTCTTTTATAATTTTTTTGTCATGTTTACTCATGGATTGCCGTACCGACAAGATCGAATTGCAAGTTCCATTGCATGGTGCATCTAAGAGAGGTTTTTATTGTATTAATCTAGGTAGACATAAATTTTATTGGGATGATGATGTCCATATGCTTTATAAGGGAGTATTTATACCTATTAGGATTGATTGGGTTAAATGGACACATTGTCACTATCTTATTTTATTCCTACTATTTTTTCAGATTAATAGATACCATTTACTAGTGCGTGTTTTCTTTTTCTTGCAAGGTCGAAATTCGAGGACGAATTTTCTTCAAGAAGAGGGGAATGATAGAATCCTAGGAAGCTCAACTCTATTCAAGGACAAGGATGAAGCTTTCTAATCTCAAAGATGGCCTTTAATAAGATGTCAAGCTAAAGAATTACAAAACAAGATCATTAGAC